AGTCGAGCAGAGAGGGGTTTACGGCGAACTTTATATCAACAGTGGCTCTATCAAAGTGATGACAGTAGCAGGATCAGAAATCCACCTTTGTAAACCATACTATGTACACGAATCCTCTAAAAGCCGACACAACGTCCACAGTTTAGCCTCTGATCTCTTTGTGGCCAGCCTACCTCCTCTATCCTCCTCAGCTTCATTCTCTGTGGACAAAGTCAGGATTTAAACCAACATTTGACCTTGTCAATATATATTTTACTAAAGATTGTTTGAAACGTCGAACATGGTTTGAAATTTGGATTTACCAGCAAAACGGTTCATTTACTGAACACAAGAAACCATGCAATTACACTGTAGAAACCACCAGCAACCAGTCTTATCTTACACTGTTGCCCTTCACCATGTTAACGATCCACATCAAACAGTCCTCTTTGTGTAAACTGTACTTGCAATTACCCTGCCCCACCACATGAGCGTCCCATCATCAAATCATCATTCTCCATGGATGACTGGCATGACAAATCAGAACGCTCCACTCTGCTGCTCAAACAGCAAAGTGAGGTGAGGGCCACTACATTTCCAGGACTGGTAATAACTTATGGGGGTCAGAGGGATTTCAGGAGCTGCTCTGATAAGTGAAGACATCCTCACGGGAACAAGCATAATAAATTCTCCCTTCAGCTGGCTCCTCCCTCCAATTTTTACCTCCATGAAAAGTGGGAAAGATGAAAAGATCCAGGAACAAATCCAGTCTACTCAAACCACCAGAGCCTTTTCTTTGGAATACAGAAAATGTATTGTGTAGTGATTGAAGTCACACAGTGAAGTGGAGTACTTTTCCAGACTCATTGACTGTAAGAATCGCAATAGTAATTGTGAAATAGGTGCTAGTAAGTATATTCAGGCTCTTTAACTGTGTGATGTAGGTATATTATTAGACATTCTGCTGACCTAGTCACTGTGTTAACGTCTCTTAAAGTAAAACACAGAGGATGTCAATTTGTAGCTACATTATAGTGATTAAAAACAACAAAAGAAACTAATCTCCTGTCTCCACCCGAAAAGCAAATAGAGCCAATAATGATCAAGCATTCTTTGACTCTCTTTTTTTTTTTTTCCTTCCAGATGACGCGTCATTTGTAGTCATCAACAAGATTCATTTGCCTTCAAAATGTAGACTAATAACTAAAAAATGAAGACGTGCGGGGGGGAAAATCAAGCATCTGTTCCTCTGAGCATGCGGATGACAAAGCAGTGAACAAGTGGGAAACCAAGAGGAGGTGTAACAGAATGTATCAGTTAAGGCTGTGGTTGGAGACGGGATTCAGCCAGAGCAAAGGGATTTTAACTTCAATATTTTTCTTTTATTTGTGCCACAATAAGGAAAAGGCACTGAGTTGTAGTTGTATTTCCTGTCTTCACAGAGAAAAACAGGAAGTCAGAAAGGCACTGAGTTGTAGTTGTATTTCCCGTCTTCACAGAGAAAAACAGTTTTCCAGGAAGTCATTTCAGTGATGTTTTGAAACAACGGGCGTGACATTGTAGACGACGAGGGATTTAAAAATAATCTGAACTACAAACTGAGGGTGAACAGACTTGTGCAACCACTAAGTTAAGGTAAACAGACAACAGTACAGTGATGAAACTCAAAACACCATTCAACCAGTGATGCTACAAACACGCTCCGTCTTATTTCTTGAAAGTCTGACCTATACAAATGTAATTGGACGGCATTAATGGAGCGTCTACTTTACAATGTGTTTGAGGAAATGACAGGTTTCTTTAAGCCCTGTGTGCACATCACTCCTCAGTATTCCTCACTGCACCGTAAAGACCAACAATCCCAGGCCTTAGCTAACAGTTTAATACAAACACACGGGGAATGAAGAGGAAACTGAGACGCACTTAAAAGATATGTCACATATCTCATCAAAAGCCTGAAGGTCAACAGAAATGACATGCTGAGCTGTTAGTCTGCCGCCTATCAATGATATTGTGTGTGTGAGTATGTGAGTGTGCGCCGGAGAGAAAAGCGGAGCCACAGATAGCATTTAATTGAAGGTTAAAGTTATCAGATAGCCTGCGACTCGGCTGTCAGTCAAGATGCAGTCTCCACGGTGACGCTCACTGCTCATTCACGGCGCCCCGCACTGCTGACGACACTAGGAAATGGATGACTTTGATGAACGCATGTGTCCCTGGATGGGGACACGTGCGGACAAATGGGACGGCGATGGAGACGTGGGCCACGTTCACAGGAAGATGCTGCACACATGAAAGTCCATGCGGGCCGGCATAAGGGAATTAGAGTGGAGGTGTGCTGCTGCTGCTGCTGCTGCTGTGGAGGAGGGTTACTTTTGATAGAATTGACACTGCACTACATCCAGGCACCAGGACACAAATCTAATTATGTACATGTGCAAACAGCACAAGGGAGTCCTGGGGTAAAAGCCCACTGAGCCAGTCTAAATATACATATATATACATACATATACATACACATATATATATATATATATATGTATATATATATATATACACATATATATACACACATATATATACATATATAAATATATATTTATTTATATATATATTTAGACTGGCTCAGTATTACTTATATGTGAACCTAATCTCTGCAACAGTATTTAAGCACTCGCAGTTTGTAAAAGAACTGAAACTGCACCTTTATTCCATAACATACAGTAGTTTACTTTTGTGTCAGATGCAATAAGGTGTCTGTGTGTGTGTGTCTGTGTTTGAACATCCTTGTTGTCAGGTTATTGTGTGTATAAATCTGTGTCTACTAAGGTCATCAGTGCCTCATCTTGGCCACCAGGAGGAAGCCTAATTAATTTAGTAGCTTTTCCAGCAGCCCATAAACAGAGGAGTGAGTTATAGCCCTGCCCTGTTCAGAGCAGCGTGGCTCAGCCCGCAAAGGCAACCAGGGGGTCGTGTGAGGATGCGGCACTTAAAAATAGTGTGTGTGTGTCATTCCATTAGCATCTCTTACAGTCACAGGTGGCGCTCACCGTTTCACGTAATTACACAGACCTACTTTACTCTTCTACAAATCACTCATTAAGGCCTCAGGCCCTCTTCATATCTGTGTTGGTGGAGGCCCACCAGGGCAACCATGACACGTATGATGTTAGCTTTTTTTTTTTTTTTTTACATGGAATGCACCAACTGTCCAACAGCTGAGCAGCAACTGTGACTGCGCAGACCATTTAAGACCAATGAGAACAACTGAGATAAACAGAACCGTCTCTACTAGTCTGTCATTAACGTAGCATGAGTCTGTCATCAAAGGAAGCCTTTTGATGATGTTTATATGAACCTACACTGGTTACTGATTACTTTAATCAACGTTGGTTCTAGTCTGGTCCAATAATCTAAACACTGTTGAGTGGTTGATTACATCTTTCTGTTCTGACCTGAGGGTCACTGGTACAGTATGTGCTGCAACAGTTCTAATCAGCATGTTTTTACAGTGTTTGTCTGAATTAATTTTACAATTAATTAATTTTAGTAAAATAATTAAAGGAGAAACCCTTGATCGTCAAGGGTTTCTTGAAGTCATATTAATAACGGTACGTTTGTGGTCTGCTTTTAGCATATATCTTTAAATAGCACATCTTCAGTGATGACTGAGGGTTCAGAAGTATTAGACATGCCCTTTAAAATAACTGCCGCATCATAAAAATACAATCTGCAGACCAGCGGACCTCAACAGAGAGAACATCACATTAACCGACCGATCTATTCTGAGTGTGAGGAAGTGCAGAGGTATATTATCCTCATTTTGGCCAATTATTTAGGATGAGTTTGAAAACTTTTCTTTCAGCTAATACACCACCAGTAATCAGAATTATTAGGATTCTCACAGCTACACAAGAGATAAAAAAACTCTAAAACTCTGTCACTACATTAGAATAGTACAAGCTTGGCTTTCTGCGATAGAGGCCTTAGTTGGTTTTTGTGTGTGTTTGAGTTCAGCTCAGCAGATTCTCAATTAATTCCTGAAGCTAATTATCAATTCTTTCAGTGTGGGAAAGCAATTCATTAATTCCAGGGCCTTGCTCTCCTCAACAATGTCACTTTTTGCTTTGTCACCTCCCAACATTGATTGGTTTCTCCTGGAGAACGATACTAACACTTTATCAATGATCTTTCTGGGAAAATAGTAACACATTAACTGGGATAAATATTTTGAGAAATAAAACATAACAATCTAATTTGTTTAGATTTGTACCCACGTGCAGAACAACCCACGGTCCATCCTATTATCACTGCTAACACACAGTCAAACTACACATTGTTATTTAAACACACACTGCAGGGAGGAGTTTTTGTTTCACCCAAGGACGTCAGGTTGAGATAAAGTACTATCTCAACAACCAGCATGTGTTTGTGGCTTCAACGTTAGGTCAGACGCCCACACCACAGTAAGGTCCATGACTGACAAACTGACTGACACAGATGGATTACAATGGACTCCAGACCCAGGACAAGGGCTTCATTCAAAATTTGCGAGCAACTCTCAACATTGGCAAATAATCACGATTAATCATTGATCATGTAAATTAAGCTGTGTGACCAGGGAATGTAACGTTAATAAGCCATGTTTTCTATTCACTATAAATTATAAAATACGTTGGTGTCAGTTCAACATCATTAACTCCATTTTCACTTCCGGGAATGTGTCTCCTTTGCAAATTCTTTTTTTATCCACAAAACAACATTTTTTTTGTGTGAAGTGCCATCACCCCACATACAGTACATCACAGATGGTGCTTACAGAACAAAAACCTCCTGGGACAGTTCCAAACTTGGCAGCATCACTCGGAAACATGGTTTCATTCGTCCAAGGTGACTAAAATCCGGTACTTTGTTTCTGCCTGTTATTGGCTGGATGTCTGATGTTTTCCATCACATAACAATGGAAGTTAACAGTTTTACATCATAACTCAGAGTTGTTGGTGTAAGAACGTCAAACTTACGTCAGGGTACTCTTTGACAGGCACAAACAGTTTTTCCTGCAGGTGAACAATGGGTCCAATGGGCTCAGGCAGCTCCAGCGGGTGTCTCTCCACGAGGCCATTCACTGAGTCACTGTACATGTCTTTGCGCACTCTGTTGATCTCTGAAACACAAACATGATAATACCGTGGTGAGCACATGGATACAAACAACAGGATAACTACACTTTCTATCCTGTATTTGATAAATCACTGTCTTAATGTTTTTGACTTTGGGGCAAAGTCTCTATCAAAAACTATTCCCAGTAAAAAGCTGGAAAGGAAACTCCCTGGAGTCTTGTGGGTTTTTGGTGAGCACTTCATTAATAACATCACAGTTTGAGAATCTAAAATGACAGATAGACATGAACGCATTACTACCGGATGTGTTTCAAAACCATCTGTATATTAACGTACCACAGGTATGGTTGTATCACAGAGAAGGGGTAACAACTGTTTTATTTAAAGCAGATGCAGCGATGAGAGATTTAACCGTCGGTAAACGGATTCAGATCTCACCCCACTGTCAGATAAATCTGATGAATGTCTGCCCTTTTCACACATGCACTTCCAACACACTGTCTGCTACAAGTCTTCCATATGGAACAAGAACACACACACAGTACACTAAGGCGGGGCAGTTAATCGGAATGATGATTTCGACTGCGATCCTGGCTTCACATGATCATGAAAACAAGACGATCGAAATAAAACTATGACTGTGCCAATGGTGTCATGATGTCAGTGCAGCAGTACACACTACAGCGTTGTGCAGGGTACCGCGCCCCAAACACACACAGTTTCACTTTCAGCAGGATTAAAGGACGCAGCAGAACACACAGCATGCCCACCGCCGATCCCCAACGACAGAACAGAACGTAGACGCAGGGTCTTTGGGGAATAAAACAGACAAACTCACAAGACATGTGAAGGAATACCGTGTGTGTAGCTTGTTTTGCTTCAGTGACACATGGCAGCAGATACACATCCCGGACAACAGTGTTGAGTTAGGCTGCTCCCCTTGGGTTTTTATTTTATTCTCACGGGGGAGCCACTCTAAGAAAAATGGATTGTGTCATGGCAGGTTTTGCTCGTCTTTCTTGTCGAGCATAACGTATGCTTTTACCAGGTTTAACTGGTAATGATGAAAGCCTGACACCTGTGAGATTGATGAGCGTACGACCACTGACACACACTTCGACTTCTCTACATCTGGTCAACACATCTGGACCCTACAGGTAGCAGGAGTTCTCTTTCCAAAAATGTAACGCTGCCAAACAATACAGTTGTCCTTCTTGTTGGTGTGTAGACGAACAGACAGGTTACAACAGTTCAAACACACAGTGATGGTTGAGCTTTGTCCAAAACATAGAGTAGTGGACAAAGGAGAAATACAATGGTTATTTTAAAGTAATACTAAAAAGTGTTTGACGCAGTATTAAACTGAAAAAGTAGTTCAAAATGTGGGGACCAGGCCCGCATTAGGGAGACAAAATCAATTTCAGGGCCAAGGAATTTCAATTTCGATTAATTTTCTTAATTTGTGTCACAACGTTTAAATTGTTTTTTTAATTGATTTCCATTTTTATTTATTTTTTCATCATTTTCAGAAGCAGGATCAAACGAACATAGGCACATCTGTGTATGCAGTATCAAGAATCCTCATTCCTGTTTTAGACAAGAGAAAAAAAGAAATGCCTGCACATGTGACAGGGCGACTAAGCGATCAGCAGCATCTCCTCTCTTCCTCCACCTCCTCCTCCTTCTTCTAATTCTGTTTCCTGTTGCTGAAATGCCACATTACCATAAGGGGGCCGTGCAGCGGAATCAGTAGAGACGTGCAACATTTGACAACCTCAAATTTAGGCATGCCAAGCCTTTTGTGAAGCACTACACTCACCTAAAAATTACCCCCTGCCTGGCATGACTGACAAAATCATTTGTCTGGCCGTCCTTCGCAGCACAAAAGGCTGGCTTTATAAAGACGACACAGGGAAGGGAAGAAGAGAAGAAGGGGTCGGTCTGAGGAGGAACTGACAAAAGAGAGGAAAGAGACGACTGACTGGAGTCATCTCAGCAGGACGTTAACTGAAAACTTTTCTCCTTAATTCTTAGACTGAGTCGCAACAATTAAAAAAAAATATGAAAAATCTGGAATCACTTCAGCCTGATTCCACCTTCCCAGGGATGAAAAGTGTCTGGGATTCAACTGAAGATTGTGAGTTTAACAGCTGAGAAAAACAGTGGTAAGAGCTGATTCTCAGCTTTTCCCCCGTCCGCCAATTATTCAGCTCAATGCAAGTGTGTCAATAACAAACTGACTCAGCAAATAACCCACACACAGTACTGCTGCCATGATGAAATGGTATGATTTTACAAAAGAAAAAAAAATTGTTTCAACAATTCCACAAAACTCATGATTTTATTTTAATAACAAATCTGAATGATTGGTAGACTTTTTGATTAAAATAATTACAAAAATAATAAGTTATTAAGGGATAAAATAATTCAAAATTATGGACCAACTGTTATTATTTTGTTATAGTGAGGGAAACAAAACTCGTGACACAGACGTTGTGTGGCGGCCGTTTGTTATTTTTTTTAATTATTATGTAAATGTATTTTTGTTTAAATGTTTTAAATGCCATTTAAATTCTTGATCACAGTTGCTGTTTTAAAGATCTCTGATGTTTAACAGTCAGTTGTCATGATTGTCTAGTTCTGGCATTTAAAAATTATTGTAAAAAAATGTAGTGTGCTATTTATCCATCACAGGAGTCTGAATATTTCAGAGATCTAATTGTAAAAGTAAACACTACTGCGACTACTTATAATGATAATAAAGGCAACGAGATCCAATGAAAAACACTCTGCACAGACAACTAAGAATAGGAGACATAATATTATCAGCTAAGCCTTTTATTTTCATGTGCGAGGGCAAAACAGAGAGTGACCTTGGGAGCAGGGTGAAGAAGTCAGTTCACCGAGGAAGGAACAAGACGGGAGAAAAAATAGGGGAAGAACAATATCCTCAGTGCTGAGCAAGCAGAGTGCAGTTGTTGGCTCTTGACTCGCACGGCTCTTTTCAGCCTTGATGCAAGTTAACACGTTTTCATGATAAACCTCTCTGTTATGTTTTGTTTTTTTTTTTCCACTGCATATCTCTTGCACCTTGAAAGCTGAAAAATGAGTGATTTTTCCCCGAACTGTTTGTCATCTGGGAAGCGAAGAGATATGAGTGTTCAGAGGGAAGGATGAAGAAAAAGAAAAAGGGAAAGTGGTGAAATATAAAACAAGACTTAAGAATGTTAGAGAAAAAAAACACTGTTTGTCTGTCTGTCTGTTGACTGAGGAAATGAGGAAACGATAGAAGAAGGGAAAAAACAAGACTAAATTTAACAGAATCACTCTTGTGAAGTTCAGC